GGATATCCTGGCGTGTCTAGGTATTAGCAGCACACAGGATACAATGATGTAACAACTATTACTACCCAGGCAATACAAGGTGAGTTAAACAGTGATTGTGAATGCTCTTGGCCCTAGTTAAAATTAAGTCCTTAATGCTCATCTCTACCCCTATGATTCTCGGGGAGTCAGAACCTCAAGAAACCTCCTATTTCCCCCCTATCCTCAATATCTCATTTTGCAGTCACCACCTTAGCAGCTGAGAAACGAACAAGACTTTGAGGTAGTCAACATGGCTGCTAAGTCTGCCTGCCAGAGCAATATACGGGCACCTGCTGTTGAGCAGTGCAAGGCATTCTTTCCTTATGAGTAGAACGTGCACCTTGCCACCAGGGGGCTTGAGACTGAACAGTGAACGCAGCTCTCCAGCAGGGCAGGGCAGGGCAGGGCATCACACATCGCTCATCCACAAATAATTGACTTAATTTTAACTTTTGTTAAAAACGTGGTACACCACCAGCTAAGGCAAAAAATCCTTCTAGGCAGCTCTGTTCCTATCCATGTCACAGTGCTCTTAGGAAGTTTCCCAATGCAGCAAAGCATGCAGAGACTCTCTGTACTGCAGCACTCAGGAATGCAATGTTTACAGAGGGCATTTAACCCAATATCACATCAGTCTCTTCTAGACAGTTAGATCAACTTCCGTGAAAAAGAACAGTGGGATTTGAATTTGTGGCAGTCTCCCAGGGAGAGTATAGAAGACTTATTTCTTAGGCTCCTTGAGCAAATACAGGGGAGAACAGTCGTGTATTGGCCAGGAGGATGGACAAGACATTTCTAATCTCATCTTCTTCTACAGAAAGGGAACATTTCATCCCTCGTAAGATGAGCTACAGTGTACATTTGGGGTTGCAGCATTCAACTTTGCGTACAGACATACTGCATCTACACCAAACCAAACTCTCCTCCATAATCAATCTAATTTTATAACTGTTATTGACACATTTTTTCTTGGCAAGAAGATGTAAAAGAAAATGAGACAAACATTAGTCAAAAGGGGATGTTCCAACTGATCCTTTTGTAACTAACCAAGCATAAACAAGGATTAAACACAGCTAACTTTTGTTTACCATTGTAATGCTGAAACCGCTGTTAGATGAGTGTTTACAACAGGACATATTGTTTCAGGCCTTTGGAGATCCAGCTCTCTGCAGAAATCATTTGCAACTGTCAAATGTTTATCATTTGCAGTGTTTCAAACTGGGTAACTCCAGGAACTGGGATGGAGCCAGCAGATGGTGAGAGAAATTAAGCTCATGACATGGTTCAGTAATCAGTGAACCACAATCAGATGGAGGTGCTTCCCACCCCGATACAATGTACTCTGGAGTTTTACTAGATCTGGGGCTCCATTAAAATGCACCAGAACTTCCCTGACTTCTGGCAGGGAAAGTCCATCAAGTGAAACTAACCTAGTGGATTAGCTTGAAAGTAAAGCCTACTGTGTACGTAGTCCCTCTGTTGCTATTTTGCTTCTCCTCAACAGGAGCTTCTTCATGGCAGAGTTTGGCAGCACACCCAAGATGAATGCACTGGGGCTCAAAACAAGCTCCGTTACGCAGCAGATAAGTAGTTTAGGATACAAGGCCTGAGGGATTTCTGTAAACGAATGCTGGAAATGGAAGTTAGAGATAATATTTTAGCATTCATTAAACTTAAAACAAGGAGAATTAAGCTCTAAATGTATTTCTTCAATGTTGCCTTGATATGACACAACATGCTCTGGGCAGCAGAGGGCTGAACAGTCTGTTCACAGAGCATCAAGGTTCACTGAGGTTCAGATCATTTCTCACCACTGTTTATTAAGGCTACAAACTGCAGTGTAACGACGCCTATGTTCCAAACTCTTGGGAGAAAGCACAGTTCTTCACAGCTGAGCGAGCTCACTACACTGGCCGGGCGACGGTAAACCCTGGTGAAAGATCCTGCGCTACTTTTTCCCTATGCCTGCCAATTGGAATTTGCAAATCAATACTGACAGAATGCAGATTACATGAGACCAGTGGAGAACATAATTACCTCTGCCTTTCTTAATATAGCGACGAAGCTGAAGATGCAAGGCATTTTGTTAAAGAGCACTATGTGGAGATTCCTGTAATCAGGTTGTTCAGGGTAGGAAATATTGCCAAATTCTTGCCACACTGCTCATCCTTCTCAATTTACATTTCATATAATCGCCCTACTTAAAAAGCTCTATAATGCTAGACGTAATCCTGCACACTACAACTGAATAATATATTTATTAATTTGTTACATGGAGTACCCACTAACTGTCCCTGAAGGTTTCCTTGGGAATGCGTGTCAATTTATTGATTCTAACCCTCCCCTGTTTGCTTTGCTTTCACCCTGCTGATAGGCATGCAAGAGTGTACTTGTATGCTGCTTCAGGTCATAATTGAAAAAGACAGAAATGTTCAATATGACTCATACATAATTCAGCTTATCAGCTGCCCAGGAGAAAAAGAGAAGAGGAGGTGTTCGCATGTCTACCTCACCCGCTATCAACAGGAGAAATAATTTTCAATTACGCTAAGTATATGCAGCAAACTGGATTTGAAGTTAGACAGAAAAAATAGGGAGATGGAAGCAGCAGATTAAGGATGTAGCAGGGAATCAAACTGTTCCAGAACATTCACATGGGTTTGAGCTCCTGGCTCCTACAGGAAGAGATGAGACTCCAGCTTGCCTCTGAATAGAGTAAGTTAGCAATCAGAAAAGACAATGTGCCACTGATGCACAAAACACAGCAGAAAGCTAAATCAAATAAAGCTGCAGATTAGTCTGCAATGAGGACAACAGAGAAGTCAGCTAAACCCTGAGTGTTTGTGAACTTCTGGCTTCAATGCTAAGGTCTGTGTTCTAAAGATCAAATTGTGGAGAAGAATTCAAAAGGTTGTAATGTAAAATCAATATGTGCTGTGTCTTTAGCAGCATGTACCCCTGAGAAGGTCTGTGATCAGCAGAGCTCTGCCGCGCACCTGGGATCTCTGCACTAGTCAAGCAAGCTCTTGAAAGACAGCAGGTCTGCACCATTTCAATTTCCACCTGACAGCAATTACAAAAATTATGTTAACCTTGCTATCAGTGAGAAAAGCCAAACCCCACTAAGTTGCCTGAGCATTTCACCCTCCTATTTAATTTTCTCATTTGCCTCACACAAAACATGTGCCGTTTCCAAACAGCTTGGTGGAATTCTTGTTGAGGAAGAAAAGCAAGAGAAAGAGGAGCCTGAGCCAAAAAATATTCCCTGCGATGTGAGTGCTGGAGTGAGCCCTGCAGGATCAGCTAGCCAGGCCTAGTACACATGCTGACATTACCTGAGCAAAGAGAGAAGTGGTTTCAGGTATAGCCACAATGCAGGAGAAGCGTCACAAACCCCCATGCTCATGCATAGCAGCCATCAGGTGCAATATGGAAATGGGCACAACAAACAGGGGCATTGAAAATAGAAGGGCAAAGATTTGGCTAAAAAAATAAGAATTTATCTGTAAAAATCCTCAAAGGAGAAAAAAGTGTAAATCATTGTGTCCACGTCTAATTAGCTGTGTACCATATTTGAACGAATGGAGCTCATCTTCTCCCTCAGCCCCAGGGAATGTGAGTGGGAGATTCCCTGGTTCCCCTGGGTGTGCATGCACCCAACAAACCAGCACATACCGGGTTGAAAGAGACGTTCCATTTTAAACCCCATTTCTACTCCCTCAGAACTTTCATCCACATTTTCCTTTGGGGATGAAATTCCCTGCTTAATCGCAGCCAACAGCACACATTTACTTTTTTACACTGTGGTAACGCCCACCATGGGCTTGGTGCTTCCTCTAGAGCGGAGGTAGGGCAGATGGGGAATGGAGGCCCGAAACTGTGTGAGTTACTGCATGGGAAGTATGCAGTGGAGCAAAGAACTGAACAGTTTCCCAAGCCTCTGGCTAGTGCCCTATCCACTGGAGCATCCTTCCTCTTTGCGAAGTCTGGCACCAACAAACAAACCAGGAACTTCAGCTAAATGTTGTGGTTTAGTTCTCATAGTACAGTCAAGCCCTCTTCACTGTAGGATTATTCAACAGTTTATCCATACCAAGTATTCTGCTTCATCTTCTGTTGGAAAACAGCCCTTCCTCTTTTATCAGAGATATCGAATGCAAATAAAAATTCCACTTGGAGGAAGTCCTGCATTTGAGCACCTCAGGGCAATTTACAGAGTCCCTATATAAACAAATACTATCATATCCATGTATAGTAAAATAAGTAACTTTATCTTAGACAAAAGTGGACAATAATTATTACAATCTATAAAACAATTACATGGAAAAAAGCAATGGTAAAATACAGACAAAAACCATTTAGAAGCAGGACCGGCACAAGAACTAAAATAAAAGTCATATTATACTGCAGGCAAGTATCAAGATCTTTATATCAAGCGTAGTGCTTTATGTAGCCACTCCAGTCCTCCGTAAAGAGAGGAAACAGAATTGAAAGTTATTACTACAACAAAAAGTAAAAACAGCTAAATTCCACACCAGCTGCAAAAGCTGAAGAGCGACTTGCAAACCCATACACAACAAACTGGCAATTTAGTCCAGATGGGGTAGAAATATAGATTAAGTTTTTCACATTTCAAAGTGCAGGTTCTTAGATACCACGGAGAGAGGCACTGTAGGACAGACGAGAAAGACCATAAAGGTGTGTGTCTGGCTAGATCCCAAAAGCTGGTAGTGGGCATGGCACAGATGCACTTCAAAGCGAAGCTCACAATCTACAGCTCCTTCCTGCTCATAAACATTAACAGACAAAGACTTCTGTCATTGAAGGAAACGATGGCCAATAATACTGGAGGCCTACAGCCTTCCAGAACTAATCCAGAATACCTCAGTATTATCTGGAGTCACTAAGAAAACCTGTAGATATCAAAGCCAGAAAACATACCACCAGCCACTCTGCCAACATGAGAGATTCTCACCTACCTTCTAACACTGTTAATTTGGCACTGGTGTTTATCTCCCCAACACTGTTGGTTGCGGTGCACTCATAGATTGCTTCATCTCGATGAACTCGCAGGGGTTGAATCCGGAGAACTGATCCTGACCCATCATCAAACTCAATAACCTGGACAAGGAAAAGAAAAGAGTTTTTTATTGGCTCCTACTGAAATGGAGACTGAAAGTGAGAATGAATTCAGGAATAGAATCCATAAATACAAATATACCACCTGACAAGAGAGACGTTCCTTATCCAGTGAAGCCAGAAAATTCAGGATTAGGAATATACTTGCCCTTTGAGGAGTCCCGGAACAAAAGGAGATCCAATGCTGTTCTTTATGAAACAATTAAAACTTGAAAAAATATCAACCCGCTAATACAGATGTGGATCCTCTGACTTAAAACATCTGGACCATATTTACACTGGTGATTTTACTAATCACACTGATGGATTTTATTGCCAACTTTAACCCTGATAAAATATAAAAGAACAGTGCTCTAAGATCCTGTGGATTATAAGAGAAATATCGATAAGTGTGGGACAATATGCTGAGCCACTTCAGCAATCACTAACTTCAATAGTAGCTGAGGATGCTTGGTACCTTCCAGGATCGGGCCCTTCACAACCGTGGCACAATCAACAGTGATATAATTACAGTTCCTTTCCTAGTATAATCAACAGTCACTCATCTTTCCATCATGCTAAGGTGGGAGAAGTATTACTCCAACTCTTCTACATGGCAGAGAAGAGGGGAACTTGCTATGCTACAGGACCGTTATAAACTACTCTTTAATGGCAGGTTGCAAAGCCACAGCCTCAGGCCACAGTTAACTTTAAACTCATCCCGTTTCAATTACTGAAAGGAGCAAAACAACGGACACATGAAAAACTGAACTATGTTTGTGGTAATACAGGAAGCAGGGCTACGCCTTAGGGGCACAGACCTCACCTCATCATGTTATCACTCAGGTCACATATGAAGTGGCTCAGCAATGCTGAGCACTAGGACGACCTGCTTCAAGTCCAGACACTGTGCGACCCCCTCTCCTGCATGCAGTGCTGTGTCCCGTGAAAAACTCTTAATGCTACACATCCAACGGATAAAGAAGAAAAAACGGACAGGAGTGGTCAGCAGAAACCACTGGAGATGAAAGAAGTGGCAGGAAACGAGAAACAGGCAGAAGGTGAAAGATAAGTAGGGTGAGAAACGCCACTGGTGAGAAGTCTCCTGTGCCCAAGATAGAAAACTGACACAAGAAAACCCACTTCAGGTGCCAGGAAGGGGCAGATGGGTCAGAGGAGGCCGCTCCAATAAGAAAAGCAAAAACATCAAAGAGATGGAAACACAGAGGAAGGGTTAGATTCCCAAGAGTGGAGGGGGAAAAAAGGGCATGACCCAAAGGGAAGATAGGAGGAGAGGTGGGGAGAGGAACTCAAATTGCTCTTCCCATTAAAAATCTTAACACAATGTAGGGTGGGAAGCCCTGTTTGCCCCATCCCTGTTACTCTAAAGAAAACTCAGATTCTCCCTTTGGCCTCTCCTCCCTATTCCTATTCTGAATCTAAATCAGACCCAGAGATGGCAGCAGTGCTGTCCGGAAAGCTTCCCACTAGAGCTTGGGCACCCCATTTCGGTCTGCTTGGTGCTGAGAGGCTAAGCAGGCTTCCATGCCCACTCCCCTCCCCCACCCTAACACACAAAAATCCTACATAAATCTACTGTTTGTTATGACCCAGCTCTGACATCTTAGTTAGTGGCTGCTACCGGTTCTGGGGTGACTGAGGCTAGACCAGAACAGGCATTCAGTATGTTTAGTCAAATTCTGGCTCCCCATGGCAATGTCTGACCTAAGGCAGGGCTCACTGAAGGAAGGGAAAATTTCCCTTGCAGCAGTTCTCAGCCTCTTCTCCTATAGCAACTGACAGAAACTCAGGCTCTGACACTGGTTACTGTGAAGCTAAGATCTGCAAGGAATAGATTTGGTTCCAGATCTCTGTAGTTACCTCAAACCGCTGGGAGCTGACCTTCTTCCCCTTCTTCATCCATGTGATGCGAGGCTTGGGCTCTCCTGTTGCCTGGCACACAAACGAGGCCACTCCTCCAGAAATCCCAATCTGATCTTCGGGAGCTTTCATAAAGCTTGGCTTGCCTGGAAGAAAACCACACCATCAGCGGTGAGCCACCTCAGATAAGCAAGGGATACATCAGTAAAGAAACTGGGTACCATGTTATCCCAAGTTATAGGACCACGAGTGTCACTACTTTAAAATCCAATTTTAATGACTTTACTCATACCAATTCAGTGTAGACTGCAGCATAACAAGCACGGTTTCAGCTCAGAAACATTTTTTTCTTAAATAAAATAGTTCATCTGGTTGCATGGAAATGAAGGCAATGCATACTCCCACTCACACTGACTCAGGCAGATGACACTGGGACAGGTTTTTCTGCTCTAATTTAAAACCTGTTCATTTTGTAAATATAAAATTTTGCAGGTGAATAATGTGATCATGTCACTGGAAATTACAGAACAGCTGAGACGTTGAGGTTTACTGAGCGCATGCTGCACCTGAGAACTTTCAGAATCTAGTCAAAACCAATGGGTACTATTATTAATGCACAATTGAGTCTTTAATTCAAATGTAGGTTCCGATCGACCTAAAGATCCAAGGATCCCTACATCTGTCCAGCCTGGCATGTGACCGGTAAAAGACTATTAACTAAAACTGGGAGTGAGCAGAGAAACCAAAGGGACATTCAGGCCTGAGTGACTCCACAAACGTAGAAATTTAGTGATCAATAGAAGACATTTCATGAAATATGGCCTTGTTTTCCGAACGTATATGACTCTGCTCCAGCTCGATATAATTAGTGATTTGGTTTGAACATAGTGTTCATATTTTTCTTAGGCAGATTCAGTCCCACAGAATACTGCAGCTCTTGGTCAGGTAGGTATTTTGGCAAGAGTTATACTGCTTTGCCTGGTTAGGAGTGTGAGGCACACATACTGTCATTTCTATAAAACAATAAAACCTCTCTCCCACTCACCAACTCACAGACACACACAGTTAAAACCAGCCCATGATGATTCCTATCACCACTTGTGAGTTAAAAATCACAGGTGGTTAGGGAGGGAACCACTCTCCTGCAGAGTTCAGCAGCAGCTCTGGGGGGATGAGGAAGAAGAGGGAGCCTTCCTCCTGTGAAGCTCAGTAGCTGTGCAAAAAGCAGGGAATAACCATCTCCCTGCCTTCTCCTTCCCTGCTAACAAACAACATAAAAATCCGGGGGGCTCTTCTGGCATTGCAGGAGAAGTCTTCCGTTGAGCGACCTGCCGAATAATTTGTGAAGGGCTGGCTGAAACAGTCACAGCACGTCTAACCTGAGTACTGCACCGGCTCCATATACTTATCGTTAAGAATGAGTCAAATTTTAATACACAAACCCATTTCCCCCCCAAGTGCCAGAACATCTGAAGAGAATTTTTTCATTGGTTGGGTTGAAAACTGAGACCCTATCCCCACCTAAAACCAAAATTCTCTTTCTACTTTACCATGTGCTAACTGGTCACGTTAAATGCTAGTCTCTCCCCAGACTTAAGCTCAACCAGTTAGCACGTGGAAACAACCTGCCCTAGCTTGAAAAGAGTGTGAGTCAGCTCAAACCAGCGAGCACCATCTAACTACACAACTTCTAATGCTAGTCTAGACAAAGTCACAGAGGACCAAAGCCTGTTCTCTGCCCCCCCCCCCCCACCAAGGGCCTAGAGAAGCAGCAGCAGGCCAAGGGCAATGCCACCCACATTCTATATGCAACACAATGTGCTACTCCCCTTTATTTGCTTGGGATCAACACAACTTGCTTGTCAGTAACTACAGTGCACTCAGGCAATACCCGATTACCATGGGCGGGGGAACTGCCCTGGATCTAGAAGGAAAGGATATACAATATTTTTCAATAGGCCAATGCCATTAACAAGGACGATGGCAAAGCCTTTGCGAGCATGAGACGACGCCATATTCTAGCCTGATTCAGAAACATGCAGTCACCACCTCACCAGACACCTGGATTACCCAGGTACCTGAATCAGCAATCTTGTAAAGAATCTGTAAAAGGGATATGCAGAGGCCTGGGGAATCAAGTGGAGTAAAACAAGCGTCAGAGGAGAGGTGACTCATCTCGCCACACAGTCAGTGGAACCATCAATGCCAAGGGGAGAGAGATGCCCAACCACTGTAACTAGAGACACAAGGTGGGTGAGGTAATATCTTTTATTGGACCAATTTCTGTTGGTGAGAGATGTCTCTCTCACCAACAGAAGTTGGTCCAATAAAAGATATTACCTCACTCACCTTGTCTCTCTAATAGCCTGGGACCAACACGGCTACAACACCACTGCATATAACAATGGAAGATATTGAATTTTGCTGTCTGAAATGGAAACTCCACAGCAGGCTGTTCCGCCTTGTATTTAGATGTGACACTCCAATTAAGTTTCCCAGACCTGAAGAAGAGCTCTGTGTAAGCTCAAAACCTGTCTCTCTCACCAAAAGAAGTTGGTCCAATAAAAGATATTACCTCACCCACCTTTTCTCTCTCATAGCCTGGGACGGATATCATTACGACGACACTGTACACAACAGTGGTAACTAGAGGCTGTTGAAATGCGAACTACGAAGTTCTGTAGATGACAGCAAACAACAGAGCCTAGTGCAGTGGGGGAGCCTTTCAAGACTGGCAACATACACTCATACACAGAAGAGGACCTGGGGATTACAGTGGATGAGAAGCTGGATATGAGTCAGCAGTGTGCCCTTGCTGCCAAGAAGGCCAACAGCGCATTGGGCTGCATTAGTAGGAGCATTGCCAGCAGATCGAGAGAAGTGATTATTCCCCTCTATTTGGCACTGGTGAGGAATAGTGTGTCCAGTTTTGGACCCCCAACACAGAAGGGATGTGGACAAATTGGAGAGAGTCCAGCGGAGGGCAACAAAAATGATTAGGGAGCTGGGGCACATGACTTATGAGGAGAGGCTGAGGGAACTGGGGTTATTTAGTCTGCAGAAGAGAAGAGTGAGGGGGGATTTGATAGCAGCCTTCAACGACCTGAAGGGGGGTTCCAAAGAGGATGGAGCTCGGCTGTTCTCAGTGGTACCAGATGACAAAACAAGGAGCAATGGTCTCAAGTTGCAGTGGGGGAGGTCTAGGTTGGATATTAGGAAACACTATTTCACTAGGAGGGTGGTGAAGCACTGGAATGCGTTACCTAGGGAGGTAGTGGAATCTCCTTCCTTGGAGGTTTTTAAGGCCCAGCTTGACGAAGATCTGCCTGGGATGATTTAGTTGGGGATTGGTCCTGCTTTGAGCAGGGGGTGGAACTAGATGACCTCCTGAGGTCCCTTCCAACCCTGATATTCTATGAAGCCTGGAAACTTGTGCTATTCAACCCAGTGGCAGAGAGCTGATTGGCCCAACCATACAGGAAACAAGCTGTTACATATTCATGGATCAAAAACGCACCTCACAGCAGATGAGGGCTTACTGACTAAGGAGCAAGTGTGGCCCACCATTATTATTGTTCATTTGTTCTGCAGCAGCATCCAAAAGTCACAAAGAGGAACAGGGCCTACAGGTATACCCGGTCCTTTCCCCAAAAACCATGTGAACTGAAAAAAGCAAGACAAACCTGGCCCAACCATAGGAATGAGCAGAAATGAGACAGGGTTAGGCTTCCAGAGAATGATTTCTAAGGGTTTGTCTACACTACAGGTTATGTCAATATAACTTTTGTGGTGCACCCACAAGCGATATAAGTTACACTGACCGGCTGGCTGATGTGGATAGCGCTATGTTGGCGGGACAGGCGGTGGTTTTATTATGCCAACAGGAGAGCTCTCTCCCGTTGGCACAGAGCGTCTTCACCAGATGCTGTGTCAGTGCAGCTGCGCCACTGTAGCGCTTCTAGTGTAGACACCTAAGACACTGACATTTTATGGCTCCTTGTCGTGTCTGCAGCAGAGACGCAGAGTCCTGACACTAAAGACAAGCAATTATTAGTTGTGGTTGCCTGACTTACACTGATTCCACATGTTTACTTATCTGTAATCACATCTACTTCTACTTAATTTATATTCATATATATTTGTATTTATTCCCCTCTACCATCTCTCCCAGTGAAATACTGATTTACTGTTCATGTTGATTGTGGTGTGATTGACTGGTTTGAAATGCAGGGTGTTGAGTTGATTTGTTCTTTTGATTTTGTTATTTACTTTGTGATGCTAGTAAACTAGTGTAAATTTATTAAATGACAAATACAACAGAATCCAAAACTTCTGTCCTTGAAGAACACAGTTCAAACATATATCGCATTATATACCTGTTCCCCAGACTGTGCATGCTGAGAACTTATTGATTTTTTTAAACACACAAAATAAAATTTTTAAAAAAGGAACAAGGGGAAATTGGACTTGCACAGGAATAAAACCTGGAAAATTCATAGCCTTGTTCAGCTTGCATTTACACCATTGGAATGACTCTCTTATTCCCTACACATTTCATTAAGCAACACCACTTTCCGGCAACAACCTAAATGCACAGGGAGTGTATTGGTTACAAAGGTATATCTGTATATAAAACAAATTCCCACACAACACATTTTGAGACAATAAAAAACAATTAATTAATTGTGAGTGTCCCAAAGAAGAAGAAAAAAAAACCCTGAAGTTTGGAAACCAGGAAATTCTGAGTTAAGATTATACAAACAACAAAGACTCAGATTTCATGTCCTGGCCACCTGACCACATATAGGGATAGGGATATGTGTGACCCACTGTACCTCCAAATAACACCCGTACCCCCATATTTACCACTTGCATATGGGTAGGACATGTTTTGTACAAAGTATGCCTTGTGAGGTGTCATTTGAAAAGTTATAATCTGTTGAGTATCACTATCCTGTCAAAACGTGTGCATC